CCCAGGACAAACAGAGGGGCGAATCTCCCCAATGGAGACTCAGACAGCAATAAAAACCTGACAGAGGTTCTGACGGTTCCTTTTTCTATCCAAAACTTAAAGAAAAGTTAATTCTAATCATAAGAGCTCCCAGCAGTGAAAGTTTTCTGGTGCTCAGTACTCTTCAGTGTTTCAGCTGTCCCCCTACCATGAGAACATGGTGTTGTTTGAGGGCTAGAGTTGAGAAGTACTGATCCAAATGCTTATAAATAGCTCACAAAGCTTAGCTTAGTTTACTGAACCTTTTCAGAAATGGTTGTTTAAAAAATATGGCTTGCTGGTTCTGATCAATAGTAAATCAATATTCTGCTTTATAAGAAGTCATCATCATTTAAACCATCATCTATAGCACTTGCAAATACTGTGAGTCTCTTTAAGGAAGACTCCAATACACAAGCTAAATATAATTTGCCTGTAAGCTGAGCACATATGATAGCCTCAATACAGTATCAGAAAACAACACTGTTTGAATCAGAAAATTGTTTACTTTTTAAAGTATATCCCTACACATGGGTCTAACCTAAAACAAGTGAATTTTCAATGGAAGAATTTGAAAAGATGGATAGTCCCTCCGCCTGAGTTGTGGGAGCACAAAATACTGATGATCTGAGCAATTCGCCCTGTTAGCCAGGAAAGAAAACCTTATTATATAAATCTGTTTTTAAGATTTCTGCAAAAACATGATAGGTGCAGGTACACCCATATATGCCTTCCAGTGACAACGAAGGATATTAAAACACAACAGACAGACAACAAATTATTGAGGGTCTCGTTTAGTAGCTCAGCCTTACCATTATATACTGAACATTTATTGATAAATTATACTTAGATATCAGTGTGGAAAGGTTACATTTTTTAATACGATGAAAAAATAAACAATTTGATATCTTTTAGCTTCACACAAGGTAAACATTATCATGTTTTAACCTATAGTTTATGTTTAAGAAATAGTTATATTTAATTTTATCTTATCCTATGTAATAGTTTTTACCTTATCAATTTGCTCGTGTTCACAGCAGAAACCTGCAATTGTTTCTATTATTTTTATAAGCCTTTTTCAAAGTAATTGTGATAAAACAAAGTTTTGTGGAGTGACTGAAAAAGATGGCATGTTTTTTAGCATGAACAAGTCATGACCTTGTTGTTTACTTTTCATCCTTACATAATCACAAATTTTGTCACATATTTCTATCACATAAGCCTAATATTTGAATAGGATTTGGTTGCAAGCTGCAAATCTTTTTGGAAGAGAAAAACCATAAAGTTAGTGGTGACTACAGACACTAAATGGCAACCGGCCGGGCTTGCACAATCCGCCCACTGAAAAATTGTTGTACAAACATGCATTATTTCATTGAATGAATGTTCATGTTTGTGTCAGTGGAGCAAGGAATGGGAAAGGGTGCTCAGGTTTTAGCTTGTCTTGGCGGAAATCAATAGCAATCAGCCAGGAATCCATTCCAAGCAGTCATTTCTTCACTGGAGCAGACTGGGCCAGGGGGCACCCGAAAGGGCTTACCAGCATATGATCATTCCCCAATCCAACTGTTAAATGCTGGATCAGGCGAGTGTTCTCTTTTGTCTGTAAGCACATACATATTTTTTTTTACATCAAATACAAAATAGGATGGTTTTGTAATCTTTTAAAACTGTGCTGCTATAGTTTTCTCAGCAGTGTGGCATAATAATATAATGTGTGTTATTGTAAGACCACATTGAATCTGTAATGGTACAGTAAGTAAGTGTATAGGATGTTTTATCAAATATATTTTGCTTAGTGATGCCATGTCAGAATACATGTAATGTGCAGGTTTGGCATGGAAATGATTAAGAACTACTAGTATATATTCCATTTCTGTTTTAAATCCATTTTTTTTTTTAAATCAAAAAGTTGCCGGCATATCATAAATTTGGTGCACCTACTTGCAGAAATTTTGAAAATTTTCAGAAAAAAATTATACGGTAGTAAATGTGAATGGTAATTGGTAATTGACCGATATTTTGCATCAGTTAAGTTAAAACTCCTTGCTTAAATAGCATATTAAGAATAAAGTATGTTTATGCTGTGGCCCCACCTATTTTTTATACCTGTAAAGTTATTATATTTCATTATATTGTTACTCTAAGACAAGTCATTATATTTCTTTATATCCTATTATTGTTCATTTATAGCAGCATATTCTTATTATGGGTCTTCCCAAAGAAAAACTGTTCACTTGCAGCAATGAGTTTTGATGTTACTGAAATGGAAAAAAAAGGGAAATAAAAGAAATACTAAATATTTTTTTGTCCTCTGCTCGGTAAAACATCACGTAAAGGCCATGAACAGGAAAAGAAAGTCACTAAAGACAAGTGACCTTTCAGTCGAAGAGATCCTTCACCAAAATATGATATATGCTGACAGTGACAGAAAGTAGTCACATTTTGGGAGGAAGATGTCTACAGAGATTTATGACAATAGAAGCAGAAAAGGCTTGAATCTGGCACTTTCCTGATAATCCCAGAATGCTCTGCCATGCAGAAACAGTGAGACAAGTCAAAACTTTCTAGCTGGATACTCTTCTTTGAAGAAGCTGTATTTTCATTATTTAAGAAAACTACACAATTTAACAATTTTGATGTTGCTGAGATTGCCGTTGCATGTGCTTGTTTTGGGTGTTTACTTATACTGTCCTTTACAATCATGATATTTATATGGGCTTCATTTACAAATATAGGGATCAAAAAGTAGTTGCTATCTTGTGTAATAAAATCTGGATACTGCAAAAGCATTTGTATTTACAAATGTAAGTAATTCGTAAGATCTATTTTTTTCTGTAAACTGCCTTCTGAGTTTTGTAACAGTTTGATGATACATAAAATATCGCTGCATAAATAAATAGCTACATACTATCAAATATAATCACTTCATAGTGCCTTGCATGTAATTTGTCAAAGTCATCCTTGCTTGAATAATGCAAACCCTTCAGTTGCAGGGAATAAGGAGCCATGGTGTTCTTATCACTCAAATTCATTTAGCTGCTGTCTCAGAAAAAGAAGCTCAGTGACTGCTGGAGCTAACAGAGATGTTTTGCTTTTTTCAGCATAGCTACATTAATGGTAACTTGTTGCTTTCTGAGGCTAAAGTTGTGCCATAGCATCAAGAAAAGCCAAATAGAAGATTGTTGGGTTGAGTTTGAGCAAGGACGCCTATTTTGCATTAGCTAAAAATGATAAATTTTCCATGTTGTAGCTGAAAATGGAAGGTACCTTATTTAGGCCTAATACATAGCATAATTAATGTGTTTAGTTATCATCTGATATGGAGCGTTTTTTTGTTAGTCTCATCCATATTTTTTGTTTATTTTTGACAGGTGTATCCGACATAAGAATGATTGGGGTGCCCTCATATTAGTAGATGACCGTTTCAGAAATAATCCAAAATACATAACTGGTGAGGATATATCATCTACATAGCCACTTGTGTGTTTATCCTGCAGTTTTAGGATCAGCCATGGCAATTTTTTCTGAGTATAATTTTTTATTGGGTTAGACCCTTGAACAAACAAAATGCTGCAGATTTGTTTTCATTATGTTGTCACATAGAAGAAGTTGGAGCTGCAGAAGGACCCTGGCAATGGGAACTCAACCTCTGTGTTTGCCATTTTTCTGCCACATACTGTATATGCGTTCCCTCTTTCCATGTTGGACCTGCTAGTCTGTCTCCATCAGGATATCAAAGTGCATATATTCTGTGTTGTACCGGCAAGAGCAAATTAGTATTTGTATTTTATTTTTTGCCCTTTGTGGCTCCTTTAAACCTACCTAGACCAGTGGACTCTGTCGCTGTCCATATCCCTTACACAGTTAAGCTTGCTGTAATCTAGTCCCCAGACTGCACAGGCAGAATGTTTAACTATGTTCTCATTTAATGTTCTACTTAGAAAGCAAAAAGTGTTAATTTAATTTCATACAAGTTATGGTAAAAGCAAAACATATCTATACAGCCTCTTTTTAAATTTCAGGTTGTGTGACATAGATTATATGTGTGACACCCGGTACCAGGTGTTCGCATTGGACGGGTCTTTTCTGCCCGTGCGTGCCCGCTAGGGGGCGCGCGCGAGCAGAAAAAATTGCCGTCTGGAGACGGCAACCCGCAGATGCTGCAGGGCCGTCCGTCCGTTTTTTTACTACGGGCGGACGGCAAGAGGTTAAGGACTGAGTCTTCTTAACCCAAAATAAGATTTTGGTTATAAGTGGATTCCGATGGTCATCCACTGGTTTATTTTATCTCTTGGTGACATTAACAGTGAGATCTTAGTGATGTAGTTTCTGGATCTGTGCCTGTATACTTCCCCTGGTTTAATCCCTGTAATGTAAAATTAATCCTACATGTAGAGTGGGACCCTCTGATAATAGGTGTGGCAGCCATGCAGACCTAACTTAATTAGCAGTGAAGTAATTATATCTCAACTGCAATATAGTTGAGATATAAATTACTGCAAGGGTAATGAAGTTGTAAATCTAACCAAAACTGTTAAAAGCAGGCACCAAGAGGAGCTTATATACACTTATTCTGTCTTCCCTAACATCCTGAGAGCATTTGTGTCTTGAACACTCAGTTTGTAAACGCCCCTGAAGCTGGACCCATACATCTATAAAAATCAGTAAAAAAAATCTTCAGTTCTATGAGGGTACGTTCACACCATATGCAGTGCTTTCCGGCCGGCTCACTGTTTTGTAGCCACACCCTCCGGCCACAATGCGATCGCCCGCACTCTATCGCAGGGCACATTGTGCCTGCGGTCCTGTCCGGTGCAGTCAAAATGCTGCAGGCACTGCTTATGGTGTGAACTAACCCTCAAATGCTATAAAGTAATACAATCAAAGTATTGGTTGCAATGGACAGTGCTGCTATGTCTCCATAAATGAGGATCGGCTATTCTCAAACAGTTATTTTGTTTTGATAGGTTTTTTTTCAACATTGGATAACTAAGCAGAGGCTTCACTATTTTACATAACTCCTTGTGTGCACTCTGACTTCTTTGTTCAGTTTATGATAACCATTTTAAAACACGTTACCACCTTCTAGATAGAGTAACCGTATTTACTTAAAATCCCTCAACTAAATATGTTGAGTCTTCTTATTTAATATGGCAGCACTGGTTTGGAGAACCTTTAAAATATCCAAGGCTGCAGCCAATAATTTCATACAAATGGACAAGTAATGAGCTACAAACAATAAAAGGACTTGCAAATTGAACTGGGTAATATACAACCAGCAGGGGGAGCTCAGATTCCATAGAAGAAAAACTATAGCCATAAAACCATCTCCAAACAGATTTGAACTTATTAGTTACTACGTCTGACATACACGTGGCTTTACATAAGATACAAATGATCAAGAACCTTGGAATAGGTCTATCTTGTCTTTCTACCGATAAGTATCTGTCTAAACTGATCCAATGCATTATTTAATTGTGAATTAATGCTTTGGTGTTAGTTTTCTTTATCATTGAGAATAATATGTTACTTTGATGTACAAGATCATTCGATGAAGAATTGCATGTAATAGTTCTAATGATTTATGCTACAACTTCGACCAGTCATTTTTAAATATTTACTGATAGTAGTAATGTTTTTAGACTTATGAATCAGCCCTTAGGTAACGGCATAATGTGACCAGGCAAAATGCATACTTGCCATAGTATAAAAAGAAAATGTATAATGCTTTCACTTTAGGTCCCTACAAAAAACAGTTTAATGAAAACAACTAAGGAAGTGTGTACCAGCAGATATGAGCATTAGATTTATAACTAATATCAAGGGACAGAATTTACTGACAACTTTGTGTCATACAGTTTTGCAGCTATTATGCTTTGTATTTTTATATTTTCAGCAAAGCAAACTTTCAATTGTATGTATGGCCCTTTAAGAAAAGGGGGACTGTATATGACTCTCTGAAAATGTGTCAGTCTGCCTACATACAACTTAATATGATAGTCTACCTTTACTTGTTACAGTAAAAAAAAAAAAATTACCTTCACTTTATATTCAGAATAGTTGTGGTTAACGTAAGCTTGACACATACAGTAGAATCTGACTTAATTTAATAATGAGCAGACCCTCGAAAGATCCCTTTATGATCCAACATACTTTTTCACTGTTTAGTGCATAACCATCATTAAAACTTTGTAGGTAGTGAACCACTGCAAAATCTTCTCACTGACCCATCTTCAGAACACTATGTACCAACAATGGCCATATTAGGTAATGTATGTAAGCAAAATAATGAATTGAAGTGTGAGAAATGTTTATGGAAGATTGTTAAAATATATGTACCACTGCAGATTATTAAATGTGTTTTGTTTGTGTTGTGTTGCATACTGTATGTGTGTGGTGTGCTTTACGAATATTTAATTGTTTTTCCTCAGGATTGTCAAAATGGGTACGGCAGCTAGTCCAGCACCACTCGACCTTTAACAATGCTCTAGAGTCTCTCGCTGAGTTTTCTAGGAATCAGCAGCAGAGAGTTCAAATGCAGAGTTTGACTACAAATGAAGAAGTTCCCCAAACACATTCCTCCTTCTCCAGAGATGATTACCCTAGTGCGTCATTGTTGGATCTCACTGTCCACCCTTCTGAGAGTGTTTTAGAACATACACAAGTGACTGCTATAGCACCTGATCCTTCACCATCTGTGATTACAATTTTATCTAGTTCAGATCACTCAGAATCTGATGAAGATTCTACACCCAAAAATAAATGTAAGTATGCAGTGCTTATATAGGGGTGTGTGATATACAGCATGTTAAATATAAATACAAAGCAGCTACCGGTAGGTCACCTCCCTGCCCCCAGCATGTGATTTGACAGAGGAGCAGCAAAAGACAGATGAAGTCATTTTTCTTCTCTCTCGCACATTTGCATGCAAGACACCTGATGTGCCCTATGTACTGCCCCATCATCTCACAGTCTGAGCGCTGCTGTACAAGGGATTAGATAGGAGGCAGAAACCAAGTCAAATCAGATATTTATAGTAGTTACTTTTAAAATACATTTAATGTGTTTTGTTTTTTAGATAAATACTTAACTTCATTAGTTAATTTTAATTTCTTTACATCTACCTGAAGTTCAACTTTAAGAAAGATGTTTTTCATTATTATTGGAATGTCAGGCTCTTGTATTAACTAAAAAGGGGGAACCATTGTGGAGAAGAAATATATTTAAGCACATAGTACTACAAATTCAATTTGAACATTTTCTTGTTAAATATATAGCGTGTTAGAACCTCTTTCAGGATTTTAATGCTGTGTCCCTGCTGGAGACAGTCGGTCTCTCTATTTGAACTGGTGATCACCATCACTGGGACTAAAAGCAAGGGAAAATCCAAAAATGTTACAGTTGTCAGCAGAACAGGAATAAAAAAAGAAATCTTTCAGTGGGAATACCTGTCCCAATGATAGCTGTCAGAGATGGTTCCCCTCACTTTTCAGAGATTTCCTCTCACTTTCTACTCTGCCATTCTGTGAAAGGAAATCTCATCAACCTAACAGGACTTTTAACCAACCCCATCTCTATTAAAAACGAAAAAAAAAAGGTTTTGGTTTTAGATACACTGTAAGACTAAAATTACCACTATCATATCACCTTAGGCTGCAATACAGAATTGTATACAGTCAGGAATTTTTATTGATTCTGTCGCAAAAGAAGGCAATGCTAAACAGAAGCAGCGAGACAGATTTATTATAGTTCCTTTCACATACCTGTGCAAATCTGTATCCATTTGCTACCCACAATTAGCAGTGCAGGGGCCCCAAATACACATGATAACTGTCGCATAGATTTTACCAACTGAGGCAAGCCTGATTTGCATCTAATTTTGACACTACTAAAGGAGTTCCATGATTATGTGAAGGCTGTACGAGCCTTTGTACATTTAATACAATGCTTAGGCAACTTCAAGCTTGATTTTTTTTATTTTTTTTTTACCTCAGGGAAGGATGTACATTATATATTTTACCTGCAGAGAAAAGATATCAAGCACAAAGTTAACCAGGGAGGGGGAACTTGGAACTTTGTACTTTGAACTTTGCCTTAGTAACTTTGCTTCTTTTAATCCTTGTAATCCAGCTTTCCCTCTCACCTGTATTTCTGAAATTCTTGCTGACCTACCCTGTGAACCCCTCCACTGACCCACTAATGTCCACCCCAATCATAACCTGATCCCTTGTCCTTCTTCGTGATTGCTCTAGACCAGCTCTCATCCTCTGAAATTATCTACCTAGTCTTGTTAACACCAACTAAAGTTGCCTCTCTATCTTTTTCTCTAGCCCAACCCTTCATCACACTACAGCCAGCCACCTCTCTTCCTATGACCAGACAATGTAAACATCAAGTGCTGCACAAAATAGGCCCCTTACTGTCTCTTCTTTTTTTTACCATTGTAAATGTATTTGTAGAGTTATTACTGGTGGTGTTAAAACCTACAGTAGACTGATTACATTCCTTCCTTTTATGTTCCTCTCAGGCAGAGCTTTAGACACTAACCTCAAGGGCTGCGTCTTAATGATAAACGTTCTTTAAAACAAAAGGTTCTGTTCTTTTTGCTAGTAGCTACATATAATAAATTACTGTTTTTGTGGCTGTAATTTTATTATTTTTAAGCACTTATCCATCTCTGCTTTATAGGGGTATTTTACATATGTTCAGGTACATTTCAAAGTATGTATAACTCTATGTTTTTTCCTGTTTAATATGCAGGTGATTTTGAGCAGCCTCAAAGTGCAAACTCTGAAAGAGGAAAATCTAACAGATTTGATAATCAGAAACTGAACTTAACAAAACAACAGTCTTCATTCTACAACTACTTCATCAATAGTCCACTCACATCAACTCCTCTGCCTACTTCTGCCAGGAGAGGTTCCCTCACAGACAGCAGCCTGAACAAAGGAGCTGCTAATGTCAGTGAAGCAACCATTGAAAAATGTCCAAATATTGGGATACAAATTGAAGCCAATACTGGAGATTCAGATGAAAGTGTGTGTAATGTGGTTCCACTTTTTCGTGAAAATAACATTGTTGTAGTGGAAGAAAATGAGCCCTCCCTTGCGGAAATACCTGTCGAAGAAGATGAAGCTGATGACACCATCCATTTTACACCTGAACTTTTTGATAATGAGAATAATCATAACAATCCTAATCCTGAGAAGCAAGAGAATTGCACTGAATATCAAACTGATACTGATTGCATGGGAAATAATGCATATGCAACTGGAGGCAGCTATAATGCCAATTTAGCAGTGAGCAATTCAGGAGGACTAGAAAATGATTTAAATTCTTGCAATATTGACATAAATATAAAAAATAAGGATGTTTTCAACAGTGAGTGCTTATCTAGTGTTGCACAAGTCAGTTCCACAAATTATACAAACAATACAGAAATTGATCAGATACAGAGAAAGGAAAAAACAAGGAATAGACTCTCCAGATCTAAGAACAGAGGTTTGTCTTCCTTTGTTTTAGAATGATTGTACCTCCAATAAATCCAAATGTCAAAAACAAGGGAAAGAACTGTCAAAACTGATTTCTGTTTGGGGTGGTTGCTACAGGTTTCAAATGACCCACTGGCTTTATGTATGTCTTGGATGATCCCATTGTGAGAGGATCTTGTATAAATAAGATTGTTGAGAAAACAATTTATAAGTTAATATATTTAGTTCTTAAAAATATTACAATAATAAATTAAGAGTCTTATGAATCAGCCCATCCAAACTACAGTTCGGGGACATGACATTTCTAATCAATATGGCATTTTTTAGTGCAAAGTATGGTAACCAATCAGATTTCAGATTATTGTAATCACGCTATGAGACAATGTGTGCATATTTTCTTTGGGTTACTGCCATTTTCACTTTAAAAAATGCTCCTTGTACTGCCTTGTTAAAAAAGCCCTTATGTTCTGTAAATTTTAAGTAATTTACATTGTAACTTTGTTGAATGACTTAGAATACATGCCATGTCGGTCTCTTGCTTTACAGCTTTCATTATTTTTGTTCTGCTATATAAAAGCGATATAATTCCTGGGTTATTGGCAATAGTTTTTTGGGCTTATTGATTGTCCATCAAACAAATGGAAGCCATGGAGTAGGAATGAAATCAATCATCAATCTTTCACTACTTAAATATGAACAGAATGTCTCCTACAGTTGTTTTGAATGTAACCAAGTTGCCTGGAAATGTATCACCTGCTTATGTTTTGGCTGAGCAATTAACATTTTGTATTAGATAAATTGAAATCCAATGTTTTGCTGGTGCTTGTTGTGCAGTAGTAGCCATCCTTTTGTACTGTAACCGCTCTATCTGGCCAGTTTTCTTCGATCAGTCATCTATTCAGTCATTCTGGCTATCCAAAACAGTTTTCTGGTAAAGCAACCATATGTCATTGTTTTGTACAAACATCTGTGAAAAAATATGTGGTTATATTACCTATAGTAAATAAAGCAAATGGTATGAAATATTTAAATACTGCTTCTTGAAACTACATGATCGCTGTATTTTTGTATTTGTAAATTCTTGTATAGTTTTTTTTTTAAAATAAAATATTGCATTGTATAAAACTAAACATACTTTTTTTTATTGTAATATGTGTTTATCAGTCTTTCCTTATATTTTTATTTTGCCATGGAATTGGAGCACTGTTACTCCTATGCTTTTCAAATTCCCAACAGGATAAGAGTTAGGATACTACAGAAAAATCCAAGGAACCCAAAATGATAAAATATATATTTGACCGATTAAAGGCTTTTTTGAATAACAATCAACATCTGGTCAAAGTGCTGAATTAATCAAATTGTGAATAAAGTACAATAAGTTCCTGCTTGGATGTAGTTTTCCTTATTGTATACTTACTCTTGAATAGGACATGGGTAAGATCCAGTTCAGGTGTGTGTATGGAGTCCGTTGTTGCTATGGAACTGGCAGAGAATCTGCTGTACAAGCAGCTAGTGGGCCATAGACAGACAACTACAATTTCCAGGAGGTCAGCAGTGGCAGCTGCTGTATTTCTTTCATAATAGAACCAGTCTAATCAAATCTACCGTTTCAGTTATAGGCAGTCTTTGGTGGGCTGAATAACCCCCTGACGTTCTTTAATTCTTGGGGACTAGAATGGTAGGATAGCCTTACTGGAGTTCCTGCAGCCAACTCCGCCATCAAGTCTCACCTTTACTACTGCATTCCCAATAGTCCATAGAATAAATGGTACAGAGCAAAGCAAGATGTTAATTTTAATGGTGACACACTCAGGATCACATACTTACTATCCCTTTGTTCCCCCTCTACTCCATTTGTCCGCTGAGTTGTAATTTGAAACATAAGCTGGCCATACACCTTTAGATTTTCTGCAGATTTTCTGTGAAACCTAAGGGTCAGATGCTTTCCACATTGAGACCATCCAAGTTTGGCTTCAATCCACTTGGAAGGTGTGGAACTAAAAGTCTGCCAAATCCTTAAACAAGCTTTCTTTGGCATGAAGGTGTGCCCCTACTTTCCTGAGTCGGGGACATCGTTAACCTTTGTGGACACTAGGAGAGCTTGCATCTCAGGACTTTTTGGCTTCTCTGGAAATCAAGGATGTGTACCTACATGTACCCATTTTTTCCAGCGCCTCAATGTTTCCTACATTTTGCTGTGGGACCTTACACTAGCAGTTCAGGGCCCTGCCTTTGGCCTATCATCATTACCTCATGTATTCACCAAGGTGCTGGCCTGATTATTACCCATACTGTTCTCTCATGACATCCCCATTGAGGGATACTTTGATGACCTCCTGTTGAGTGAACAGTCAGCACAGGCTCTGTCTGACAATTTGAGGGTCGCGACCCACAGGTTGAGAACCGCTGCCTTATGTTATGACCAATGACAGTATTGTCACAAATGACACTGCCACACTGAGAGGGCACCAGAGAGCCCCATCAAAGTTTTGTTATGGAACCTTTCCGGGAGAAAGTGTTTCTCTCCCGGGCGGCCGGGAGCTGCTGTCTAATAGCTATCTAACAGTAGCAAAATTACAGCGATGACGGAGCAACGAAAATAATTTTACTGTTAGCGGTCGCCACAACTTGGGCAATTTTATCAAAGGGTAGCAGCACTAGAAAGGTTGAGAACCGCTGACATAAGGTATGTCTAAATTAAAGACAGGTTGAAGGAGAGCTGTCAGCATAGTCAGTACACTACTAAGGACCAATGATGTGGATATAAGTTGTCAGTGGGGGCAGCAGTGCAGGGAATTCACTTTTATCCATACTTTTCCAGTTAACTACTCTACCTTAGTAGCTCCCTAGTCTTTCCAGAAGATCAGATATCAGGGCCTTAGTGTACATTCAAAGTCCTTTTACTACAACAGTAAGCAAGTGCTGAAAGGGCGGGTCTAGTAGTGAGGAAAAATATTTTACATGATTAAATCATTGTTAGTGCTCCTGCACACAAATACTCTATATCCCTAACACAAAATCTTGTTTTATTTTTTCTTTATTTCAGATCTACAAAACTCAATTGTCTTTTTATTTATTTTAGTTGAGGAGACCCTGAAATGTTATACTGTATTATTCTTGCTCACATAGAAGTTACTCACATAGTAAAGGATAACTGTATCTCCCATATTTCAGATACAAAAAAATATATAAATCTGAATAATCCCAAACGTTTTGGGGGTGATTTACTAACCTAAACACACGCACGCACCAGGTGCGTGTGATTTTCACACAGCAAAACGTATTTATCAACCAAAAAGTCTCTAAAAGCATATTTCCACTAATGCCATATATGGAAAAATCATGCACATGATGCATATATAATGCTGCTTCACAGTTTAGACAAAAATGGTTAGCTCATGCATTTACATTCCTGCATTCATCAACGCAAGCAACACAACATAGAGCTAATTTACACAACATCACCTTGCAATTCATGCAAGGCTTTGCACAACACACCTGCTGGGTGTGTACACACTACAAAGGTGTTTAGATTCCACCCATAGATCATGCTGGGAGGGAACACACTATAGAGGTGTATACATGTCCGTGGTGTGTTTATAAGGTTATTAAATCAACCCCTTTGACTCAAATTTTCGCAGTGTACCTTTTAGGACCTCTGTCGACAAACTTGTGTAAATCACATTTGCTTTGAGATGCTTTTGAGATCATTCAAAATGCACTGACAAGCACATTTGACCTTCAATTGAGTTCCTTCTAACCTACATTGGACCATTATATTTTAAATATAATTTTAAAGATTGATAGTTTTTAGAAATTCATTTAATTTGCACTGAAATTTGGCACTGTAAACCAGTGCCAGGTGGTATGAGGAGTGTTAATGGGCCTCAAAAACGTTTATCAATGCATAACCAGTACGTATATATGGAGAGCAGACCACTTGTCTGCTGTATAAATATCTGCTTGGAAATCCAACAGTTGAGTTGGAAAATCCCAGTTCATGATGACCATGGCATCCTATTTAATGCTGCCATACACAATATGCATTTATGTCAGATGTTGTATTAGGCTGTGCTCAAGGGTTAAGTCAAGTATCACAGTTTAAAGTGAACCTGTGCACACAGAAATAGGATGGCTGCTGTTGCTGATTTATAATCAATAGTCTGTCATGCTTATGCAGTCTTTATTCAAGCATTTAGTCAATAATGTCTAAACTTGGATCATGCATAGTTTCAGGTCAAGATCAGGAGTATAGTTTCAGAGCCTGCACCCTTAAAAAGCAACTCGATTCATGGGTTCCATTCAAATGAAAACTCCCCTTTACCATTCCATTTCAATCTGCAGCGGCTTTAACTTTCTAAGGGCTCGTTCACATGGGCTCAGAGGTCCATTTACTATAAAACAAATGTCTGGATCTCTGCTCCATAGTTGTTGTGTATGTATATGTAGATGTATGCACGTATACACTCAGAGCAATATTTACCTGTGTACAGCCTGTCATTAATTTTTACAGGCAGACTGTATGCAACACCTGTGGCTCCCAGGCAAGGCCATTTTTTACAGAGTGCGAACCTCTGCGTCTGTTTGAATGAGCCCTGGCACGGATAGGCAAACTCTGGCCCTCCAGCTGTGGTGAAACTGCAAATTCCATCATGTGCCTTTCTCTGGAAGTCATGCCTGTGGGATTTGTGATTGCACCACAGCTGGGGGACTGGAGTTTGCCTACTAAATATCTAATTTCTGGCTTGTTTGTGATTGGCTTGCTGCTTTTCTCAAAATGTGTGCACTCAGCAGTAAAAATGTAGGCATCCCCTGCAATATGCATTTCATATTTGGTGGCATCCTCTTACCTTTATAGATCACAGAGCATCAATCAGTGTAATTTGGAATTGAACATGGGTGCCCAACACAGTTCTACGAATACAATGCTTAAGAATACTTGCATTTTGTAGCAAAACCACTGCTGCTCTATAGTGATAACACTGGATACAGGCTTTCTTCTCAAACAAAATCTGTTTCACATAAATTTTCATGTTATCTCATTCAAATCCACTATATGATGGCCTAAGGTGTAAATGCAATATTGTTTTCAAGCTAATTCT